AAAAAAAAAAAAAAAAAAAAAAAAAAAAAAAAAAAAAAAAAAAAAAAAAAAAAAAAAAGATACGACAAGTCGCAAGCTTCGAGCTTCTCCCTTCCTCTGCCGATGCTTACCGTTTTCGTAAGTACGACGCGCAAAAGCTCTATCGCGCTCTGCTCTCGAGGCCTCTGTAGTAGTATTATACCACACTCGAAATTCGTCTCGTTAAACGGAGAAAAAAAATTTAAAAAATGTTCGCGCACATAAAAATCGAGGGAGCGATGGATGGGTGGTGGGGGTAAAAATAAAAAGGTGGACTTGAAAAAAAAAAAATAAATAAATAAATAAAAATAAAAATGAAAGAAAAATAAATGTAGGGGGATAACGAGTGTACGAATTGTCGCGGCCCCGCGCGTCAGCGGTCGTGTGTCCACCTTGGGAGAGACACCGTCGGTAACTAAGTCAGTCACAGGGACAAAAACCTGAAGAAAAAAAAAATCTTTTTTTTAAATTAAAAATAAGAGTGACGCTTCGGCTTTGCCCCTCCAGTGTGCTATTTATAGCTTCCGCTTTTTCACGCGTGTCCCATAAGTCACACTTACTCGAGACCACTTCGCATCTTTCTTCCACCTTTCCAAGCCCCTTGAGAGAAAGTCTTGGTAATTCGTGGATATAACGTCAAAATTAAAGCAGCGACATCGTATACATTTATTATTTCTTAAGGGCTTCTAACATCTAATTTTAGAAATTATGTTCTTGGAAACATTAAATTACGACTTGTAAAAGCGGCGTGAATTCGAGTAGGTGCCGTCATAACTTTTGTACGAACAAATAAAATTTTAATTAAATTGTAGTCATTTTTATTTTTTATTTGCTTTTTCTAAAATTTAGGTAAACTTTTGTCACTAACTTTTTGTATTATGATGGGATGGATAATTTACGCGTCGTATGCTGTAATGGTCAACGATAATTTTTTTAGCCAAACTTTTTTTTACTTTTTCTTGTTTGCTCTTTGAAAATATTTACGGCAACCATTAAATGCATTATTGCAATAAAAGTTTCGATTAATTTTTTCTCAAAACAAAATTTTCATTCTAATGAAATGAAAATAATTTCTGCAAATACCGTATGTGAAACCCGTAAAAGGACTTTGACGTTTCGCGTGATGCGTTATTTTAAACGAGTTTCTATAAATTTCACTTTAAACAGTATTTTCACGTTTAATGTTGATGCTACCCTATGATAAATCGAAAATTTCTTTCATACGGTTACGGTTTCCAGCGTGTGCAATTACCCTTTAATATTACATATTATAGAGGCAATGCTCGGATTGTACTCTTTAATTATGTGCAATCATAATCCATGTTATTGATCATTTTTACAGATTTTGATTGATACACATTTTTGTACGAATAAATTTCAAGCTAAATAATGGTTGTACAATCTTAATTTATGGCATTTGTTGGATTGATATATAAAATTTTGTAAAAAATCCTAA